TATGCCCAAATAAATTTGTTAGTCTCTAAGGTGCCACAAGGACTCCTCGTTGTTTTTAGTGTAGGAAAGTTTTTTTTAAAAATAAGGGGGATTTGAAGGATCAAAGGGAGGGCTCCCAAAGCAAAGAGAGGAGAAAGTTGTCTTGTATCAGGCATAGCATGAAAGAAAGTGTCAAAATGAGAATGGGAGAAAGAGGCAAAGGGGAGCAGTTGGGAGAGAGGATACAGCAGGATTGGGTGAAATGAGCACAGATATATGGGTAGAGCTTTAAAGATAATGACAAACAAAGTGAACCTGATATGGAATGAGAAGAAACCAATGACTAGATAGATACAAGGAGTAGGGGTGATGGGCTCAGAATGGTAAAAGTGGAAGAGGGTGACTTTTAGTGTACACGGGAGGGGGGTCGCATTAGTTAAAGCAAGAGCCGATGAAGGCCCGGACCAGGGTTTGGCAAACGTGGGACAGCTCGGCAATAATGCAGGAACACTGTATGCGATACAGTTTTCGGGATAGTTACTGTATGATTGTATTGGGTTAAATATTGGGAGGTTTACTATGCAGCAGCACTGGGTTAAATGAACAGGGTTGGGAAACCAATAGGAAGGCAACACAGTGGTTTGAGATAAGATATCTCCTGGCAAACACTTCCGAGGGGTTAGGAGACCGTGCCTGAGCTATTAACTGTGAAGATCATACCTTCTGGACTCCAGCCAGGTTACAAAGCTTGTTTTGCCAGTGCTGGGAACCAACAGATTAAAAAGACTATAAACAGTTAAAAGGACTCTGTCCAGCAGTCAGTCAGTTGTTTGAGGGCTCTTTGGGGGACAGACTGATACACTGCTGGGGCTGTCTGAGGAAGTTAGGCCTTTTAGGTTCCCTTCGGGGGGGTGGTAACCCTATGGATGAGATAGATGCGTATAGACCATTTATTGTTTTAAAAAACTATTTTTTTCTTGTGTTATGCTTTGTTCGTATAAATAAGATTAAACAATACGTTGGTTAAAGGGCTCACTGACTACTATTTATCACTGGTCACAGACTCCCAAAGGGAAGAACTGCAGGTGTCAAACCCAGTTGGACCTGCTGGCTTAGCATGGTTGATAGCCTGGGCCACAGTACCCTGTGTAAGAGTGGGAGAATTGCGTGACTCCATCCCAGGAGAGGAATGGCACGAGGCTGGTACCCGACGGGTGCACTCAGAGACCAGAGAGAGCACCAAGACACACCTAGCCCTGTGACTGTGAGGCAGAGGTTTAGTAGGAAGGATGGAGAGGAAAGGCTGGATTATTAAAATGTTTTAGCTGAAGAAGCGACAGGTTTAGGTATTGCATCTGAGGGTTGGAAGACCTCATGTGCAAGAAGGTACCAGGGGAAAACAGGGATAAGATGGCGCTACACAAATATTGAGAGGAAATCGTGTGAAGGGGGGGAGAACCTATTCAACACTGAACAAAAATGTAATGGCACTAAGTCTTCAGAGAGTAGCTACTGAAGGAACCTCTAGGGGACACTGTGCTCAGAGGAGGGAGGGTTTGTGGCTGCTAGGACGGAGGGTTTGTTTGAGACTTGCCATCAGTGAATCCCCAATGGTCCTCCCTTTTCTCTCCTTGGAACCCCATTGTTGTCCCTGGTGGCTGCGGTCAGGTGCGCAGGAAGCAGAAACCTCTCTACCTTCTGGTGCTTGGCAGGGATGGGATATGACAGGACTGCGGAGGTGAGAGGGAGCAGGCGTGGGGGGGAGTTGGGACCCTTGCTGATGGTCAAAAAGGTTCATCTAAAAATGGCAAGTTTTGTTTAGATGTAGGACAAGCTTCCTGATGGTAAGTGTAGTTCTACAACAGAACATCTGCCAGGGAAAGTCACTGAGACGTCGGTGAGCCGTTCAAAATGAGTTTAGCTAAAACTCTCCACGGATTAGAGTAGGTCTGAAGTCAGTGGAAAGACACCCATTGACTTGAATGGGCTTTGGATCCAGCCCTAGGTAGAGGGAGTTGAACTCAATGACCTGTGAGGTCTCTTCCAACCCTACTAGCCTATGATCCTCTCTTATAGGACCTCTCTAAGGACCGGCAGTCAGTTTGCGTTACAGAGGCCTAGCATGAATATTAACTGTGCCAGTGGGACTGACCAGTCAAGAAATCAAGAGTCCAATCACCCTGCAGAAAATATAACGCCTCCAGTCCATGATCCAGAAGAAGATAGCCTGGCCCGAGGCAGCCAAACCCCTAGCATTTCTGCAGTGCCCAGGAATGATGGTAAGGATGATGGACACGTTTATTTTGTAACAACATTTAACTAAGGTCCTTTGATTCCTGGGGAAATGTTTCTCAGGATCCAGAAGGCAATTCAGGATACTGAAGGACACATTTTCAGCTGGGCCTCGAAATGGCCTGCACTTGTGAGTGTACAGAATTGATCGTGCACATACATGTGCCCTTACTTAGTTATTTGCACTTGCAAAATCTGTGTTAATCATGTCAGTATGAAAAATGCAGGTTCGCGATGGGGTCTGGGATAGTGTTGTCTTGGAAAGATGATCATGTCTCTTTCCCAAGCAGCTGGGAGGGAATCCACTGGACTCCACTGAAGCAGGCCCCAGTCTTTATCAGCCTATTCCTGGTCATATGTACTTGCCCACTACATATATAATTCATATTAAAAGCTGTTTCTCAGTTAATATTTATCAAGTAATGGACATGATCCAGTGAGGAGATGTGTCCTCATCGCCAAACTTGACTTTAGTGGGAATGGAGGGCACTCGGCATCTCACAAAATCAGGCCCATTCCTTATGTTTGTACCCCAAATATTTGTTACTAATGGTACATGACAGGCCCTATATATTTATACCCAAATGTCTGAGCTCTAATGATTTATTGCTTCAGAAAAACCCTTATTAAATGACGGCTGTCTCTCAGAAAGGAAATAACATATGTGTATTTAATATCTCAGCTTAGAAGCAGCTCTCAATTAAAACTAGACCTATTCTATACCGTTCTTAAAGAAGCCACCCTCGTTTCAAACCTGCCCTTGCAGGGCTGGGCCAGGGTCATGGAGGATTACTTGGAAGCAATGGTACGACGGCCCTTTTACACGCCACAAAATTATAACATTTATATCCAGTTTAAACCCCACATCCATTGAGAGGACCCCTGTAATTGCAGAGTTCACTAGTGCCAACAGCTGGCCTTGTTTAGTTCGCTGGACCTTTACCACACATACCACAGGGGAAGGTAATTAAATGAAACCAGCACAAGAGGCTGCTCAGAAATAAGAATATGATTCTGCTCCATCTTCAGTCCTTTGAGCGGTTGCTTAAGACAGGTATCAGTGTATTTTCTCTCAGCCTCATTTTAATCTTCATGCTCCCATTTTATCCACTTAAACATCCACGTTAAGCGGAGTTCCCTAGAACTGTAGGGAAGTTTGCATCTGAATCTAGATCAGACATCAGGCCCATCTGTAGCATGAAGATGTAGTATGGTGTGACATAGTATCATGTCCTGCAAAATGCTATTCCATATATTGACATCCCTTTTCAACTCCAAGTGTTGATGTCGGTCAGCAGCTCTTCCTTCTTGCATGACCCAAAGCTTTTCTATTTAATTGTTGGGTTTTAATATTAACTGTGCTTATCCAGCAAATAGTGTTTCATTCTCACAATATTTGTTTGTGTTGGGTTTAGATACCGAATTCAGATACGCTTCTCGCCCAGCAACTTCCCAATTCAGTAACATGCTACCCACCCCTGCAGATACAACTGGCACTAATCCCAAAGCTGGGAGTAAAAGACATCTAGACCATTTTATTGCTCAAGAACGAAATGGAAGCAGCGCTATGGGCTCCACCAGTAGTTCACAATCCCAGGCCCCAGAGAAAGTGACTCTTGTTGTAGATGGCACTCGATTTGTGGTGAATCCGCAGATTTTCACCGCTCATCCTGACACCATGCTGGGAAGGTAGGTGATTTCAATAACTTTAAAGATGTTTAAAATGGGACAAACGCTTTCCGAAAGCGACTACAACGCGAGATCTCAGCTCTCATAAGCTAAGTGGGATCAGACTGGTTCAGCACTTGGCTGGGAGACCTTGTAGATTAGAGCCAGCAAGAGGGAAATTGATGATTCGGTAGGTAGTGCTCCCGCCTCTGAGTCAGTCCTGAATCAGCACTGAGTATGGCAGTAGGAAACACTCCACTGGCTCACTTCAGCCCCTGTCTTTCTGCTATTTGTCATGTCTTTCACTCCTCCCCAGTCCTGCTGTGAGTAATTCAGAGGCTTAGTCCCCCAACTGTCCCAGGAGCCTCCTGGAGATCCCTTCCAAACCCGTATAACATATTTTATTATGCAGATAAGTGACCTGATCATAAACTCACTATCTTGATTACTACTAGCCAAAGTATATATACTCATTGCCACTTCACCATCCTTTTTCCACCTCAAGCTGGACCTCAGTGGGAGGGCATTGGTAGCCAAGAAGCATTTATCTGACCCAAGGTTGAATGCCAGCCTTCACAGACAGTGACTGCTACTTCTTCCATACAGTGGAATGGTTCAGTTATGGACACAGAACTCTGCTACAGCAGGGCCTGTTTGAGATCAAATCTCTTAAAGTCACAATAAAATAAAGCATTGAATTTGGGCCTCCAGCTATAATAGAACTGTTTTGGATTGTTTTTAATGTCAGTGCACCATCTGGTCCACATTATGAATGTATTAAATATATTTTTATATGTGTTTTTATGTTTCAGAATGTTTGGAGCAGGTAGAGAATATAATTTCACTCGGCCAAATGAAAAGGGAGAATATGAAATTGCAGAAGGAATTAGCTCCACTGTATTTCACACAGTGCTGGTGAGGGCACATTTTTAGCTATGAAAACCGTTGTTCATCATGTTTGCAAAGCTGTGCTTCCTTCAAAGCAGCCGCATGCCCTTTCAAATTTACGTTCCAGAACTATTTTACATTCGGATTATAAATCTTAATCTCTTCTTTCTTACGTGGCTCAATCTGCCATCTCGGAACTTGTGTTGCCACTTCTTTTCCCTCCCTTTATACCATTTCAGTTTCTGAGCTCTGCCCTCAGTCACCCCATTTCTGCATACATTAATTGCATGAATAATTCCTCTGTTACACGGCGAAGCTGCTTTCTTTTCTTTTTTCTTTTTTTTTTTTTGCTAGCTAACAAAGTTGTTCGTGACTGTCTGCCAGCAGAATGATAAGCTAATTAACAACAATATTTCCAGGTTAGCCTGAGATTTTTTTTAAAAAAAGAAACATCATCTTCCTCCTTAACAATTTATTTACAGGATTATTACAAAACTGGAATCATTAACTGCCCGGATGGAATTTCTATCCCTGATCTCAGAGATACGTGCGATTACCTCTGTATCAACTTTGATTTCAACACAATCAAATGTCAAGACCTAAGTAAGTACGGGGGAGAGAAAATTAGCTAGAAGTTAGGGCTTGATCCTACAAGATGCTGAGCACTTCGGCCCCAATCCAACAAAGCATTTAATCGTCTGATTTACTTTAAGCACTTTTGTCCCATTGACTCCGGTGGCACTACTCGTGCTAAAAACTAAGCATGTGCTTAAGAGCTTTGTTGGACCAGGGCCAGAGTGCTCCGCATCTTGCAAGATCCAAGTTCTTGCTCTTCACTTTGTGTGTGATTGCAAATAATTGCAAGAATGTAAATACTGGAGGGCTATTGCTGGAAATGATGCTGTGATGAGGCAATATTTTTGTGACCCTGGTGTGGGCCTCAGTTTCCCTTATGCATTGCATCATTAGTGGGAGGAGGACTGTTCGCTCTCAGAGCAGGCTGAGACATCTGTATGAATGAAGCCTAGCTGTCTGAGCCTGAATGAGTCATTGAAAGGACTGGCTGACGCTGACCCCATATCTATGGTGAATCTGAGAAGACAATAGCAAATCCAATCACCAGGACATTGACCCCTAGGCCACGTCTACACGAGCGAGTTTACAGCAGCACGGCTGTGCCGCTGTAAAGTCGGTCGCATAGCCGCTCTAAGCCGACAGGAGAGAGCTCTATAAACCTTGAGCAACCTAAGTTTTGCCGGCATACGTAGCCATGACTCTAGTAACCAAGGGCTCAGAGGCAGGTGGATTTCCCTACCTCCCAGCAGGGAAACTGGGCAAACTTCCTCAGCCTGGGAACAAAGGACTGGGAAGATGTGAGGTGGGGGGTAAGAGTGGGCTGCTGGAAGGAGTCTGGGCTCTCACCTGAGACGTCACAAAGGAGGTCGAACTAAGGGCTTGTCTACAGCAGCGCTTTAGTGTAGACTCTACCTACGCCGAGGGGCCGGGTTTTCCTGTTGGCGTTGGTAAGCCACCTTCCCAGGAGGCGGTAGTTAGGTCAACGGAAGAATCCTTCTGTCGACCTAGCGTTGTCTACACTGGGTGTTAGGTTAGCTTAATTGTGCTGCTCAGGGGGGTGGATTTTTCACACCCCTCACTGATGTAGCTGGATTAACCTAACGTTTAGTGTAGACCAGGCCTCAGAGAGTCTCAGAGCTTGAATAATGGGGTTCACTACAGCTTGGCTGAGCTCTGGGCTAACCAGAATGGGCAATGCTTTAACCTTCAGGTCTCTGTGGTAACCTAAAGACTTCCTGTGCTGTGTTCCAATTAACTAACAAACCCGACTGTTGAGTGTCACTGCAAATGCTTGGTGAGGTGCATTAATCCCTGAAGAGCATACAAGTCTCTGCCAGGCGTCTGTCTCTGCTGGACTTGCTGTGAAACAGGAGTGCTGGTGCCCTAGAGGTTCAGTCTAAGGCAGCGGTTGAGATAGCATGACCTACCCTGTGCAGGAAGAGTGAGATCCCTTGGGGTCTGGCAGGCACACTGAAGGGCTTAATCCTACAGACTGTTCAAAACCTGGGGTGCCTACCACTGATCCTGTGGATCTGCGACACATGCATACATTTAAATTCACGATAATCTATTATTCATTCTCTATTATGATTTTACTATATTGATTGGGTCTGGGCTCTTTTAAAAAAAAAAAAAATCATTCCTTGTAATGGCCCTAAAATTTAAATCAACTTTGTATTCTATTTTTGCTGTTGCCAGCATTGTGATCTGGGAAGTGGACTAGAGATACTGTTCGTATGAATGTATGTTTTTAAGGGGGTTGTCAAAGGTTCCCAGGGCCTTGGGATGGGTACTTGTTTGTTGTAGATATAACTATCAATAAAGCATAGGGTTGGGATGTATGTTACATAAAATGGTGAGATGGTGCCGTGGTTAAAGGGATTGGGATTTATGGGCTCTCCCAGTGACTGTGTGTGGACAAGCCATTGAGTCCACGCTTGGGTGCCTAAATCTATGTACAGGTACATAAATAAGTGGCCTGAGTGTAAACAGCTGCCATTGACGTTAGAGATCTGTGCATGCTCAGCACCTCTGAAGATCAGGCCACCTTTATTTAGGGGCCTAATTATAAATTTACAGTAGGAGCCTTGTTTTTGAAACATTTGGCCTTGATTTTTTTTTCTACCCTCAGTTTCCCATCTGTAAAATGGGAACAACACTTTCCTTACTGGGAGGTTATGAGGCTTTATTCATTAATGTTTATAAAGTGCTTTGAGATCATCAGATTGAGTGCTACAGAAAGGCAAGTGGTGGTGGTTTTAAAGCCATCTTACGGAGTCATATCCCCAGAAATGTGTGTTCTAGTTCAGTTTGGTATAAAACACCATGGCAGATCAGTAATGCTTACTTATTTGTACTTGATTTGTCTCCTTTTAGGTGCTTTGTTGCATGAACTCTCTAATGATGGAGCTCACAAGCAGTTTGATAACTACCTGGAAGAGCTTATTCTGCCCATAATGGTGGGCAGTGCCAGGAAAGGAGAACGTGAATGCCACATTGTAGTATTAACAGATGAAGACACAGTGGACTGGGACGAAGACCATCCACCTCCAATGGGAGAGGAATACTCACAAAGTAAGAACTGAGAATTGTTTTTTAAAACCATTTGTTGAATGAGGTAACAGATAGCCAGTCACTGGACGCTTTCTCAGGAGCTCTATTTGATCCTGGGCAAGGACGTTTCCTTCTATTGAAAAGACGATATTGGCTTGATTGTCAGAGGTCCTGAGCACCTGTATCTCCCGCTGGAGTTGTGTGTCTGGTCAACACTTGGGAAGATCAGACCCTAGCTGTTTATTTCAGAATGCTTGATTCACATCAATATCAGATTTAACACAATAAAATAACTTTGTGATTAAATTGTTAAATAACACATCAGATTTAACAAATTATTCTGTTGAGATTTCATTAGTGGGGGAACGGTTTACCACAGAGTGAGAGATTTCATCAAAAACTTGTAAAAATATTTATTTTAAAGCACAATTGTCTCATTAATATCGGCATGGCTAAATGTTTAGTGACAACAGGGTCAGGTAGCACGTTTTTGTACAAGCCATATGGCAGATCTTGATTCCAACCTTTTGCTGTCAGCATCTGTAGGAGTTCTGTGAACATATAGAAAGCAGAATAACCAATGAAGCTTGGTTGTTTGGCTCTGCCATTAGATTTCTGGCTTCCAACAGAGACTTTCATATTGGAGCAAACCTTAAAAAAGAGAACATTTATAGAAAATAATATTATTTCCTCTGTTTTTGTCAGTGGACCCAATCATGTATCCCTCCTTCACTTAAGATTCATATTGATGTTAATGGGAGCTTTGACTGCAGGATTGCTCTCATAAACATTGGCGTTGGAATAAGTGTGTCCTTTCTTACTAGCTTGTCTTCTCCTTGTAGGTGCTAAGGGCCCTCCCACCTCCTAGGATCAGGTCTCTTCTGCTTAATCCCACAGAAAACAATCTTGTTTCTGTGACATTATAGCCTGATAGAAGGGAGCCGGCAGCGTGGGCTCGGGTTTAGAATAATGACTTGAGAACAAAGAGCAGTCTCAGTTAAGAGCAGATGAGCTGCAATGTAGAAAAGAGAAATAATCTGCTTGATAAGAATAACATTCTAATCAGCAATACTAAGGAAGGGTAATTATAAGGTAAATGGATCGAAGTTTAAAGGAAGCTATTGTGTATCTGACCATTTTCCCTAGCGTGGGGATAAAGTCCCTCTTTAGTAATGGAAGTTGCATCATCCTTGCTTGAGATAACATTTTAATCAAACAAAGGCACAAAACATTCATATTTCCCATTTGCAGTTTCCTGGATAGAGCAGACAGACCAGATTTGTTCCGTTTACCAACACTAAAAACTGGCGAATGATCAGTGATATCCAACACCCTATAGTTACAGGGAGAGAGCAGCCGCCAACCAACCATGTTTGAAAATGCGATGGGTTGTTATTGCTTGAGACACACTGCTGCACCCTGATGCAAGAAGATGCTACTTACAGAAAAGGCTTGGGGACAGCTTCACTAGAGAAGATGCAATATTCACTGGGTTTGGAAAATGAATATAACAAACAAACAATGAGAGGATAGAACTAGTGAAAAGATAAGACACACACACACACACACACACTAACTTGCATCCTCTTCTTAATTTGCATTTCCTGTAAAAACTCCTTCTGCACTTTCCCCCCAAAGAGTGAGTTGTATTCATTTTACCCAGCCACTGAATGGTGCAAGTTACATGAATTTACCACTTAGCTGTTTCCAGACCCATTTTTACCCACCCACGTCACCAAGGAATTTGGGCCCTTCCGGTGCCTGATGATAGGTATTAAAAGTAGTTCTGAAACATCAAGGCTGACTTTTCCAGCACCCAGACTGCGAAGGGCTGCCTACAGGCATCACAGGATAAATATCCCAGCCCATACCAATTACACCAAATGCTAGGTGGAGATGCATGTCTTGTAGTGACTAATGAATCACTTTGTTTCTCAAGTTCTTTACAGTTCCAAGCTGTACAGATTCTTCAAGTACATCGAGAACCGCGATGTTGCAAAAACTGTCTTAAAGGAGCGTGGGCTGAAAAATATTCGAATTGGCATTGAAGGTAAATTTTATTTGCTAAACAACAACAGAAACCTTAAATAAAAAGGGAGAACAATTGGTTTGGACACCAACACCACTACTGCCAGAATCTGAAGCTCTGTACTATAGTCCTAGTTCATTTTTACAGGGTCTAAATGTGGAATGAGAGCACTTTTCCACCTAGTGCTAGAGGTGTTGTCCCAGCTCTACCCAGTATTCTTGCCGGGCCATAACTTGTTCTTTAGGGTTCCTTTTGTTTGAGCAGTGCTATGATGCATGCAAGGGGTGGCTTGAAACTGACAGGCTGATTGTGCTTCAGGTTATCCCACATGTAAAGAGAAGGTCAAGAGGAGACCCGGAGGGCGGTCAGAAGTTATATACAACTATGTGCAACGGCCGTTCATCCAGATGTCTTGGGAAAAGGAAGAAGGAAAGAGCCGTCACGTCGACTTCCAGTGTGTTAGAAGCAAATCTCTAACAAACCTGGTGGCAGTAGGCGAGGATGTTTCAGAAGACCAGGAACTTCTGATGCATCATCCACCCCAGGTAGACGAACTCGATAGGTTAAATGCACCATTCTCACAAATGGCTCCTAACGATCTGCCGGATTAGTACGGACTAAGCGGTCTGCGGCTTTCCTGTGTTGGGAAATTTCTCAGCATCGTTTCATCCCAGGACATGGGACACGCTCTCTTGCAAGGTGTTTTATCCTTGTAGTCGCTCTTATTATAGTGGAATATTTCAAGCATGTTAATAATGAGCTCTGGTCCCTAAATCTAACGGTGCAATTGCAAGCACAGTCTCCTTGAGAAGGAAGGGATGGAAGCTCTTCGCAGCCGGAGGCTTTGAGATTTCCCCAGGTGCCTGTGCCCACGTGGACTGGTGGTGGTTGAGCTTTACCTGAACCTGTGAAAGAACAGAAGTGTTTTAAAAAAAATTGTTGTTCAGCGTGAGAAGGGGAATTCCATGAATATTAGCATCAAAAGAGAATTGTATTGTAGACGCTTGCCTTTGTTTTAACGATAATCACTCAGTTACAAAGGGACCAACCAGCACCGCGAGACAGATTCCACTTTTCCCTCCAAGCGCAGATGTGACACTGTTGTGTCAGTAAAACCCCAGGGATGAAGGAATCTGTTTGCACCACCAGTAGGCTTTGCATCCAGCATGTATACTACTGTCCTCTAAAAAGGTGGAGCTGGTTTAACAAGTAGCATTCGGCTGTTCACAGGCCAGTGCTCATTTACAGTTCTGAGCAAGTCAGAATCACCTCTTTTTATTAAGGACAAGGTTGTGCTGTTGAGCTTAACCAGAGTAGAAAGTGGTGTGGAATGAAAACAAATCTAGATAATATTTTACCAAATAAAGCAGTCTAACTTAGCCTGTTAAATGTATGAAGCTCCTTTAGTGATGGCTCTGTAGCCGAAGAATCACCGTTTCTTGCTGCACATGCATGCTAAGCCAGAGTCTCTCAGCACAGCCATGCAAACTGAATTTACCTTGGTAGAACCTGTAGGTAGTTTTGTCTTCCTCTTTTATAATTGCTGCAGCTATTCATTCAAAATTCCCATTGGCTTCAATGGGGGCACCCCACGGACATCCGCTTGCAGAATTTGGGCTGCTGGGCAGATTTCAAGGCAAACTCCTTCCTTCCAGTTTGCAACTGATTTGGGTAATTTTATTCTGTCAAACAGGCAAAAGATAGAGGGGGGAGAATTTTAGCAGCATTTTATGTATACACACAGTAAGAACAGCTATGTAAGGAAGTAAATCTACAGCTGAGAGAAAATATTTCCTGCTTCTCCTGACTTGGCGTGTGCGCTAAAGGCCCAGTTCAGACTGGGTACAGGAACATACTAGCCATGACCGTGTTCAAACATGGTTGCAGCCAGTCCAGTCTGAAGTCCTAATTTTTTTTTAAAGGGGTACAAATGTTCAGTTCTCCCCCTCCAAATAAGTACACCTGCAGTTAATTGTGGTTGAAACTCATACCACTTACACATCTGCCTGCCTACAAAAACAGCCCAGTTCCTTAAAATCAGCCCCTAAAATACACAACCATTTTTAGCATTGCTTCTTTTCTCTTCTCCCCCAAACTACTGTTTGGTGAAAGCAAAGCATTCTTCCAAGCATATTTTCCCTCTGTCTGTTTGCAGATTGTAAACTAGACTCTCTTGCTGCTAAAGGTATATTTGTGTATTTTTTTCTCGCCATATTTAACTTGATAATATTAAGCACAAATTGTCTTATGAATTTACAAACGCTGCTTTAGTTTAAAAAGGGACAAATACTTGCTGATGTGTATCTAGTTCCCATTTGTATCTGTGCTTGACTATCTCTGAGCCCAGGTTCCCATATTTGCAGTGGCGCTTTCTTGGCCTCAAAAGAACAGCAAACAGATTTCTTCTCCTTACAAGTGCCTAAGGGAAGGAGATTTTCAAAACTGCCTACTGAAAGTCACTAGGCTGTGTGCTCCTAAATCCCGTTAGGTGCTTTTGAAAAGCTCCTCCTAACTCTTTAGGGCAGGACAGAAAAGTGTCCTTAACCATTTGCTGGCAGGTCAATAGACATTTTATGCAATCACTTTCTACTGTTGTTAGTTTTAATTTCCTTCTGTTAAATACTGGAAGACTTTACATGGCATGTGAAAAAAATCTGCTTCCTGGAAGGCCCAATTGAGCCCTTTCCTCAGGTTGGAGGGAGGTGCTCACATGACTTCATTGGGAGTACTCACCAGTGAGATTCCAGGGCTTGCCGTTTGGCCTTACGGGTTGTATGTTGTCTGTCTATTTCTGCACCACCTTCAGTTTTAAGTAAACTAGATATACTGGATAGCTGGTCTGGAATTTGAGTTTACATATTTCTGTACACACACAGTGCCCTCAAATCCCCTTGTCTGCATTGGAGTATCAGGGCTGAGCAACACCTTTCACAAGGTCAGACCCTTTTAGATTCAGTGGGTGTTGAGGGCCCTCAGCACTTCGTACAATCCGGTCCTAGTGTGTTAGGAGTATGGAATACAGCTAATTAAAGGGTTTACATAAACCATTCTGTTCACCCACAGTTGTGTCGTTTAGCAGATCCGGTTTTGGAGCTAATTAAATGTTTGGAATGTTCTAAAGCGAATTCCACTGGAACATAGTTTTAAACTAAGTAAATGGTGACATTGACTGTCACCGAGCGTTCAGGTACAAGAGCAACTCGTTTCTTATGTTTTATATTTGGTTCAGTGTTACTCATGGTGTTTACAGGATCCTGCAGTTGTAAGGTTTCTTTTCTGTAATAAAGTGTTATAATTTACATGCAGCCTCTGTTTTCTCTAGTAAGCAGAAAGGGACTTTTGAATGACCGAGCTGTCCATCAAGCCTGCAGCTTTCCTGAGTCCCTTGATGTACTGTCTACTGACAGTTCTGTTCCTTTCGCTCCTCAAGATCCCGCTCACCCTTTATACAGCCCTGAAGAGACCCCCCCCATTTTCCTCTGCTTTACCCTCAGAGCCCGATGTTGTAACCACTGTTGTCCTAGCCAAGGAAGATTGAATGAACTTATGGAGCCTGTCAGTGGAAGGCCTTAGCCCAGGGGTAGGCAACCTATGGCACGCGTGCCGAAGGCGGCACACAAGCTGATTTTCAGTGGCACTCACCCTGCCTGGGTCCTGGCCACTGGTCCGGGGGGCTCTGTATTTTAATTTAATTTTGAATGAAGCTTCTTAAACATTTTAAAAACCTTATTTACTTTACATACAATAATAGTTTAGTTATATATTATAGACTTCTAGAAAGAGACCTTCTAAAAATGTTAAGATGTATTACTGGCAGGCAAAACCTTACATTAGAGTGAATAAATGAAGACTCGGCACACCACTTCTGAAAGGTTGCCGACCCCTGCCTTAGCCTGTGTGGGTAACAGGAGGGGACCTTCCTTTGCTCCAGGGGCTAAGCTGCCCTTGCCCTTCTCAAGAGCTGGGACCCAGGAACTGAACTTTGTCCTCCATGCAGCACTTACCCTTAGCAGCCAATCATTACCGTTAGGTCACATCTGTTTAAAGAGAGTTTCCCAGGCTAAGCTCTCAAGGGGCAGGGTTTGAGAGTCTTTTCAAAGACAGGCCAGGGCTGTCACTGAGCAGTGATGAAATCTCATCCTTCCCTGGCAGATTGAAGGGCTCGGACAGCTAGTGAAATTCAACTTCCGATTTTGGGATTAATGCCGTTGGTTCATCTAGCACAACCGTTTGCAGGTGTCAGGCCCCTTTAAATCTCTCATGCAATTGTAGGCTCAGTTGGCTATAACAAGTTACACAGTAAGATGCTAACGCACCAGCTTTAAACATCAGCTCATTTAATGCTGGTATAAGTGATGGCCAAGATTTTCAGAAAGGGCTAGTGATCTTGGGGCTCTCAGTTCTTGGGGGCCCAACATGACAACTTAAAGGGACCTGATTTTCAGAGTGTAGGTCAGAATAGCCCGAGCCTGGCCTAAATTTGAATGCTGACTCAAGTTTCACAGCAGGCATGGTCGTTCCATAAAGAACTATACCTAACACCCCACGCAACCCCCACACTGCGGCTCAGTTCCAACTGTACATACAACAGGGAGTGAAATAAAGGAGTGGTGCTCAGATGGTCTGACCCACTAAAGGAAAAAAAACTGAACTCCTGCGTGCTTTCCCTCTGCCATTTGAACGCCGTACACCCTTTTTTCTAGCCCTAGGTGCCTTCCTGGGGATGTGGCAAAGTCTAATAAACAAGAACTGCAGTCCTGATTCCCCTTGACCCTCCAGCTCCGTGGGAATAGAACCGAAGACCCAGCCCTAGCATCCTATAACAGGTGCAGCTCCTTCCCTATGCATACAGCAAGGGTTAAGTTCACATGCAAAAGGTCATCTCTGCACACATTTCAGGGGTTACCACTGAGCCATGTGATAATTTACTTAGGATAGACCCTATAGGCTCCATACTGGGATCAACACCCTATTGTGCTAGACACTATACACACAACAGAGACGGCCCCTTACACAAAGCGCTTGCAGAGTATGAGAGCAGCGGAGCAGTGAGTTGTCTAACCATTGTCAAGTGTTTTGTAGGTGTCGTGCCAGCCTGTGGTTACCACCAAAAAGTTTTAAAATACTACTAGATCTAGACAGGTAGCACCACTCTATATGGCTACAGCTGTTCTGTTGCTGAGACAGGTAGCACCACTCTATATGGCTACAGCTGTTCTGTTGCTG